TCCGCGCCACTCTAAAGATCTGGCTGTACCGGCTGGCCTGGGGTTAAGATTCTAACCCCACTCGAATTGTGTGACTGTTGCGTTTTTAATAATGATGTATTGTCTTTATGTTAGAAATTGTTTGTCCTCCCCCCCCTTTTTTTGAACTGTGAGCCACCCTGAGTCCCCCCAGGGAAAAGGGCGGCATACAAATAAAGGGAAATACAAATACAAATACAAATTTTGTGCTATTGTAATTTTGAACAGTCGCTAAAACAAGGGCTACCTGTCCTATAACCTGGTAGAATTAGGATGGTGGAAAAAATTTCTTTTGGGATATAATGCTCAGCAAGACAAGTGATAATTATACAAATACATTTCCCTCCTGTAATATAAGAACAGAACAAAACTGCTCAGCTTGTCAATGTACTACCTGTGACTTTGCAAGATTTTGAAGGCAGCCATCAAAATACCTTTACAAATTACATCATAATGTTCATGTAACAGAAGGCAGAAAATGTTTAATATGTAGAGAGTTATATTTGATGTAGTTCATTAACTCTATTTAATTTTAATTACACCTTAATTTATCCATTTCATCTAGATTAATTAAATCAAATTTAGTATTCTGGCTCTGCCCAATTTTTGGGAATAATGCCACTCAAAAGCCAGTTGTGAAGATTAATCCAGAAAGGAGTGCAATGAATGATGCTTCTGTGGATCATTGGGCTGAAGTGAAAATGTGATTAAATTGCCTTTTAATTCCAAAGATGGTTTGGGATAGAGGGATTCGATCCAAGTCTCTCTCAAATGATTTGAAAAGGAATACTCTATAATCTTCACTTGAACCATGTTCTTCAAATACTGAGAACAAGTCAATCCCCGCTGTACCACTAACTGATCATTAATAGGTAAAGCTAAAGGTTTCCCCTGTCCACTTGTCCCTGATTCTAGGGGGAAATGTTGAGCTCCATTTCTGGGCATGATGAGAATATATCTGCTGAATACAACTCTGCCTTGGTGATAGGAAGGGCATCTGGCCAGTAATCACTCAGCTCCATTAAGTTCCCAAGACACCACCCTGTAAAGGATTATGAGGTCATTAAAAGATGATGATAATTACAATAATTCAGTAGAGTTTCTCTCTGCTTGCCTTCCTTGGTTATAAGCCATGAGGGAGGACCTCCAAGAAGCATTGTAGAAAGATATGCTCTCTGTCTATAAGACTGTATTAATTCATCTTCTCTTTTCTCTTAAAAAGAATTCAACTTCTACTTGCTAGAAACAAGATTTTCATGGGGAAAAAATTGCCAGTATTCTAATTGCTGGTAAATATTTTGTATTTCAAGGGTTTTTTTCATGATTCTTTCTCCCAGATATACGGGTAGCCCTTAGTGTATAACCACAATTGTGATTGGAATTTTTGTCAGAAGCCAGTGCATTTATAAAGTGAATCATTAAGACCAGAACCGATTTTATGACCATTTTTACTGTGACCATTAAGCAAACCACACCTTGTAAAGTGAATCACATTGTCATTAAATAAACCTGGCTTCCTCGAATGACTTTGCTTGTCTGAAGCCAGCAGGGAAGATCACAAATTCCAATCACATGACTAGACACTGCAACGATCACAACTATGTGTTGGGTTGCCAAGTGCCTGAATTGCAATCATGTGACTAAGGCAGTGATACAATGATCATAACTTTGAGGATGGGTTGTAAGTCATTTTTTTCTGAGGCTGTCGTAACTTTGAACTGTGAAGAAATGGTCGTAAGCAGGGGTGAAATGTTACCGGTTTGGACTGGTTCGCCAGAACTGGTAGTAAAAAATGCTACGAGTTCAGACAAACTGGGTGACGATCAGCTGTGATGCACAATTTATATTAGCTAGAATCATCGGATTTCTTGCTTTCTAGCTAATCTAAATCGTGTTGCACAGAGGATTCCCACCCTCTCACCATTCTACTTACCTTTGCAGACTCGGAAGGCTTCAATATGTTCCCTTTTTAGTGCTGTGCAGGCGTGCCTCAGGCATGCATGCACACAAAGCATGCATGCAGATGCAAAGCCCGTGCTTGATAGCAGGCTCATCGATCCGGTAGCAGACTTTAGATGATTACACCGCTGGTCGTAAGTCAAGGGTTAACTGTATGCAGTTTTTGTAAAACAGGATGTTTGTGCCGTAGTTCTCATTCACAGCTATAAGAGATTCAGGTTGTTTTTTTCTTGGGGTCAAGAACTATTTAGTCTAATGTAAGTAGTCAGTGATCAACATCACACTTGAAAGGTTCCACATAGACCAAGACAAAACTGTGTCTGATATTGTTTGGGATTTATTTTTGCGTTAGAATTCTCAACTCTGTGTGCTTAATTGCCATTTAGAAAGTGTCTAATTGATCAATTACTACAAGGAGCATTTGGAAAGATGTAACAGATTGATTATGCATAATTCATCTTCCATCTTTTAGCAACAATAGAGTTATTCCAGAGGAAATATTTCCCTTGCAGAAAGTATGATCTTCTGAGAGCAGTGACAAATACCACTTGGATTGTACATCCTGTATAAAAAAGCTACAGATTGGCAGAGGGTGATAGTGGGGATTGAGGAAATAGAGAGCATGATCCTATATTTAATCTATAAGTAGATGGGCAGTTCTGTTGATCACCGGTGCCCATCCATCCTCATGGCTTTTATAGACTCCCAACTTCTGTCTTAATTTTGTTGATTCAATCAGACTGAAGAAGTCACCACTGCATTCCATCAGCACATATATTCTTACCCTCCCAAGGATCTTACTCTGAATCCTTACTTCATGGGCAACTTCTTCCTCCTGCATCCACATGGGGAAAGCCTGTCCTCCGAATATGCTACATAATATCCCATATCCCCAGTTGTGACTTTCAGGCCTGGCAATTCCCACAAGGCAGCAGGAGGAGGGACATATTGCCTGCTGTTGATTGGCATAAACCCTACCACCACCACTGATGGCCACATCATTCTCTGTCGTCTCCTTGTTCTTTTACCCTCAATCTTTCCCAGCATTAGGCTCTTCACCAGTGAGTTCTTCCTTCTCATTTGATGACCAAAGTATTTGAGTTTCATCTTCAGTATCTGGCCTTCTAAAGAGCAGTCAGAGTTGATCTTCTCTAGGTCTGACCGATTTGATCGCCTTGCAGTCCAAGGGACTCACAGGAGTCTTCTCCAGCACCATAGTTCAAAGGCCTCAATTCTTTGGTGCTCAGCTTTTCTTATGGTCCAAATTTTCACAGTCATACATTGCAACTGGGAAAACCATAGCCTTTTAGTTTGCTGAACCATAATTAATCACAGTACTGAAAAACCACTTAAAACCATCTTATTTGTATTTTACACTCTGATGTGAATTCAGAATTTGGAAATATGGAAAGAATTCGGGCAAATTTTGGAAATGTTTTG